GTATGTCAAAAAGTTGTTTCAAGAAACAAAAACAAAAAAGTCTTCTTTTTTCATGGATAAACATAATTCACTTATCCTCCACACCAATTAATCTTTAATCTAATTATTTTTTTTTAATTATTAATTCATAAATATTTCCAAGCCTGGTAGAAGATGAAGATGCGTACATTATTTAATGTTAATGATTGGTTCAAGTTAAGGGCAAAACCCCTTGGTGTATAAAATTTTTATGATTTCTCTTGAGGTTGAAAGAATCTGACGGCCCATATTGCGATGTACTCTTTTAATCGGAAAAAGTAAAAAAGCAGAAAATGTTTTTAATTTTAACCTTTTTTTTTTTTTTTTTATGAGTTAGTTTGGAAATAAGGTGTTTAGGTAATGTTAGGTAAAATAAATCATTTAAGCTGATGCCATCTAATCAACTTTCTAATTCTGTCTGTTGAGAAACAAAAGTGTTTACAGGTTTCAATCCTATCAACATAATGGAGAAGGCAAAGTGCTTTTTTGCATTCAAAAGCACCAACAATGAGTAGTACCATTTGATGGATGGATCTTATTATTAAATATCTGATATAAATTGGCTTTATTTACTTTTACATATTTACTGTGTTTGTGATTATCCTTTTGATAATATTGTCTCAATTAATGTTCCGATGGGACTAATTGAATTAGCATTGATATGGATGGATTAGATTGCTAAAACCATACATCGATAAAGAATCTTTCTATTACATGAAAACTAATTAATAATCCAACAACTTACTCTGTGGGAATCATAATATTATTATTAAATTATATTATATTTTCTATGATACAATGTATCCACCAAATTATTTGAACGGTTTTGACTTTTGATTGCCCTAAAATAAGCAACATTTTGTACGTATTAAGGTTTATCTTTGGACTTCTTCGTTTTTTTTATTGAATAAAGGTTGGCATCTGGGTTCTGGGATTAAGTCATATTTTTCACTTGTAACCTTTGTCCCAAATATTTTTTTTTTTTAATAAAAAATAATTAAATCAGAATTTTGTTATAAATTTATGTATATCAAAGCTTAGAATAGAAGATATTAAATTCGTGATACTGATAGAGAATAGCATATTCCTAGATAGAATCCATTGGCTATTGTAAAGAAAAATTCATCGTCTAGTGAGGATGATTGATTGTTGTATATATGACAATTGACAAGTCCCAATCTTTGTAAGAAATTAAAAGTCAATATTGTGATCATTACTTTTGATATAGGTGGGTATGATTCATCGACCTGTAAATGTTATGTTATAGATTGGAAAGTAAAAGCAACCTTGCTAAATTTAATATTTCCAAAGTTGATCGTCACTTTTCTTTTATCTTTTGAATCTCTACACGACGAAGACTGAAAAGTCGTCCTCGCTGATTCTTAATCAATTGAACCATAGACTTGTAGAAAGTGGAATATAGAAAAATCAGGCATAATGATAATGAGTAGCACCAATATTATTTTATTTAATTCATTTTCAGCTTATTACTCACTGCCAAAACTAAAGCAAATGTGAAAACGATAGACCTGTGTTCATATATCAACTTAATTTTCAGATCCCAGGCCCAGCAGCAAGCAAAACAACGTGTAAGACTTAAAAAAGTTAGATGAAACTTATCGATCCAGCTAATGCTGCAATATACCGACGATGTTCTAATTCAGAAGCATATTTTACTGAATGGACTAGACAGCTACCTGTCTTGTAATGGCTTATCAGATTCATTCATCGTTGTTGCCTGATATTATGCAAATTCATGCATGGATCCATAGATCAGTCTGACTATCAACATCTGCCAGGCAAGATCTTTTGTTGCGTCTATATTCTGATTTTGACTTTAAAATTGTTAAAACATTATTCATATACATTCTAAATTGTATATTTCAAAGTATCTGAAGTTAAATAATATTATTATTCACTTTATTTGCCCCATAATTTGTTACAAATTGAATTTTATATTATATTAATAATTATTGACAATGTGAAGAGATGAGATGAGACCCTTTAGTAGGGCCAGTGGGGGCTATATAAGATGAAGATTGGGCATAGACAGGATTCAGGATGCAATTAGTAGCCACTCATTCTTCATATGCATCCTTTCTTCATGTTCTTGTGCTAAATAATGTAATGTTCTTTAGTATATTTCGTTTTCTATATTTCAAGTGTTAATTAATTAATAATTTATTTGTTTTATTATTAGTTTAAAATAGAAGTAGCATGCACATAAAGTTAAATAAAATTGACAGTTTATATATTAATTATAAGAAAATAACACCTTTAATTATCTTATAATATGTTGTAATACTCCATGTACAATCAAATCAATGGATCAATTGAAATTCTAACTTTATATGTTTAAAATTACTCTTCAATTAATTGTACTAAATCTACAAAGTTTATATGTAAATTTAAATAAATCCTGCTTCAATTTTATACTATAGTATTATTACAATGTCCCTCGTTTGCCATTTAAAATTAAGTACGCCGTTTTTTGTGACTAATTTCTTTGATTCACATCTCTCATATGGCAAGTCAAATTGTGATCATTACATGTTATAAATTAGATGGTTCATAATTTTGGTGGTAAATCTTTTCTTTTCAAACCAACAACAAAATAAATAAATGTATGAATCGAACATGTAGTTTTCGTTGACTAATTTCTTTTGTCTTTCATAATTATTTATTTAGTTATCAAAAGTTTAACTTATATTTCTCTGGAACTATAATTTTAAATCTCTCTCTCATTCATTAGATTATAACCCCAAAATCAACGAACAAAAATTGCCACTGCACTGCGGCTAATGAAGGACAAGATACATGTGTGGCTCACACACAAATGAACCAGCTGGAAGTTATTGAGGCTTTAGGGCCCATTGGCAGCAGCCAGCAGATCAACATTCAACAATGACAAATACATCAACTTCAATCCAAAATTCGGCCCTCTGGCCAATTTGTAGGGTTGTTCGCGTCCGCTTTGATCATCCCTGTGGCCGCTCGCGGAAAGCCATACGCCTGTTGCCTGCTGGCCCATCCAAATATTTGAAGGGTTTAAGATAGATAACAACAAAATAATACATAGGAATAACAATAATATAAATAAACGACATTAGTGTCCTCCTTATAGTAATTGAGCACGTGAACTACTAACGTTTGCCTCTAAACATTATGTTGACAATTGTAAGTTCTTGCACATTTTTACTTACTATAGATTGAATGACGATTGATTATAACAAAGTTTTTATCTCTTCTTTTTCCACATTGATTTGATCCTTGAGCGTCTCCGTTGATAAATAAAATTGGATAACATCTGTCTGCCACATTAAATATGAATAAAGTTATACATCCCAAAATGTTTCCCAAATGACATGTTATCTTATCTGGTATATTGACATATTATTCCCCAAATCATTCGCATGTCAGCACAACGTAGTACACTTCATTTGAGATGAGAGTTTTGGGATGAATAGCATTATATATATTGAATTTTTATATTAATACATTATTTTAAATTAAATTTATGTATTTTTAATCTTAATATATGTTTAAAATACTATCTTTAACATAAATTACTATTTCTCAAAAAAAAAAAAAAAAATAATAATAATAAAAAATAAGTTTTTATATTAGGAATATATCTATTGATATAACTAATCTTATTAACCTATAATGTTATTGTCATTTATGTATATCATGTATGTTTAAGCGCGCAAAACCTAGAGTTGATAGTCATATGGTACAACTTTATTAAATTCCTTGCATTCTTGGTAGTGTATAGAGTCTACTCTACATCTGTACGACTGTACATGTTATAGACATGTTTGAGGGCTTTGTGATATACGTGTAAATACACCGATGAATTGGGCGGGTAGGTATGAATCGTATAATATTACGTTATAAATCCTCCTTTTATGTTCACGTGTTAGAGAGTTCATAGAAAAATTATTAATTCTACATAAGGCAGATATAAGAGACAATGATGATGGGTTGAGTTATCGATAAAAAGAAAAAATTATAATTTGTTAATGAATCTATTCTGTATTCCATTTAAATTGATTAAACTTAATGTGTATGCAGTATGTTCAGTTTGATCTTATGCTATAATAATGGTCTCATGAGAAAAAAAAAAAAAAAAAAAAAGAAGGTAAAACTAATCTATAATATACTAGCAGTAACATAAATATTAAGGCTAATTTGGAGATAATTATAAGGCTTGCTCAGACATTTATATATAGTTCATTATCTGTATCACATTTGCAATCATCAAATTTTATATACTGAAAAGAAGAGATAGAGTATGTTAATATAATATTATTGAAAGAATAAGATATGCATTAAAATATTCAATCACGTAAAAGTGACACATTGACAAATTTCATATTAATTATTAAAACCTGACTGAGAATCTGAAATTTCTATCAAATCAGAGTCTCGAGCGAGATAAGAGAGGTCCCACTGACAACGTGCTGCTAGTTTTCATTGATTGTGATTTGTGTGTGCAGTGCGCCCCTTCTGTTGTCTTATAGATTACCTTTCCAATAACATTTCCACCCGGTTAAACGGTCATTTCAATTGGACCGTCCGATTCTCAATTACACGTGTCACTCTTTCATTAGTGCTTCATCAAATGCCACGTGCAAGGTGGCTTTGAATCACGTGGCCTGGTTTATATCAAACAAATTACTGTTGTATCATGTGTATAAATGTAAACCAACAATTAACAACCCTTTATGTAGTAATCTCTTCTCTAACATTTAGAAATCATCAGAGAATCGGCAGCCAGCAAGTAAAATTATTTACAAAAGAAAATTCTAAAAGAGAAAATTGTTAGCGAGCTCTCTGCGGGATGTGGCGATGCTAAGATGTCGCCTTTATCTGCATTTGCACCTGCATCTTTTTGTGTTATTTGGTTGTGATTCGAAAACAGTGGAAAATAGGACGACCAGGCAAGAAGGTGCATGTGCAAATGCAGATGAATGCCATTTTGGCTATTTGGACTTGAGATACTCTAGATCTCTTTCTGTTTAAGGTGTAATACACTAATACTCATAGAATCCTCAACAGTTTCTTCACCCAAGTATGTATGCATGCTCTTAGTTTCTTCCTCTTACTGTGTGTTTTTGCATGTATGTTTTGAGTGTGAATTTAAAAGATTTACTCAAATATTGCTTTATAGGTTTTGATTAGTGCGCTTTAGATAGGTTGCTCAAGAATTCTTTGAACCATGCACAGATTAGATCGATGACGATCAGTATAAAAGGAGCTTCAAAAATTAAGTTAAGCCCTTCAACATTATAGGGCTTTTCAAGGTAAAAATAAATCTCTCTCTCTCACGAACATATATTTTGCCTAATTTAACTTAATTAGCTTACTAAACAGGTAGCATCCGATTGCGGCCAAGACACTCTCAAGAAAAGGGTAGCAAATACTTTACTTTCAGGGCCAAGTTTAACACAACTGTATCATCTACAAGTTTCAAACACTTCTCATTACTTATCTAAAACAGTACTTAGCATAATATATATAGTTAGGTGTTGCCATTATGGTCTAAATCCAAAGATCATCTCTCTTCATCGTTAATCAAAAAGGAATATGCTCAAACTGTCCTTTTTCTATAATTACTTTCATTTAATTTTTTTTTTTTAATGAAAATTGGAAAATGACAATGCACTAAATGTGTGAAAAAGCTAGATGTCTCTTCTTCTCTTTAACGATTTCTTTACCTGGTAGTACTTGGGGGACCAGAAAGTGACAGATAACGCTGATCAAAACCCCTTGATTATTTTCTTTCCGTAGGCATCTGCATATTATGCCGTGTACTTTAGGGCAACATGCACTGAATATAATCAAGATCAACATATGATTAAGAAAGCGCCAAAATACAACATTACATTCAGAATCCAACAAAGACAAGATATATAAATTAAAAAAAATGATTATATAGCATTATTAGGAAGAATAATATAATTATTATTTGATTGTTTGCTTAAAATCCCCCATTGTGGATGTATTTGGTAAATAGAATTACTAAAACATATAGAGCTATCTGGTAAGCTTAACTTTCGCAGGACCTGCATTTTACATATTTGACTCTTTCTAAATTCTATGTCATGTGTCTACACGCAAGCATAATTATACACATCTAGGTTTTATGTATTGGAGAAACATTGCATCAATACTTAAATAAACAGTAGGAGGATTCTAGGAGAGTTTATTTGCTTTTTGACTTTATGGCCTATTTAATTTGCTTTTTGACTTTATGGCCTATTAAATAAACAGTTGGAGGATTCTCGTCCAGTTATGTTTTACAGCAGTGTTTGACTGCTTGGCTTATATCTTGATTTGTTGCTCCAAAGACGACAAAACAAAACAAAGCAAAAAAAAAAAAATGAAAACCATTTTCATTTGTGAATCTTATAAGTAAATATATTCGCATATAATCCGATTGTTGTTTACCATACTTCAAGGATTATGAAATGCTGAATATGGTATGTTTTGCTTGCAAGCTTCTGAATTCTGATAAACCGTTTGCATTACAGATAACCACTGACATGCGTATTCAGGTTTTGTCAAGGTAAGTCTCTTTTATTTACGACTATACATATTTAGTTTGGAGCAGTTTTTAATTTTGTTGTTTAAACACCAGATAGTAAAACATGCATGATATCCATATATATATAAATAGCATGAATTTGCTTACAGGACTATCAAATAATATCACCAAGGGGAGATATCCTATCTAGTTGTTAAGACCTTTTGTGGATGTATATAAATCAGAAATTAGGTCATAGGATTCATCTCGCATTCACATTCGTGGGAGATTTAGTTTAATTATTTGTATTTTGTCATGGTAAACCAAAAAACAAGTGCTGAGTGTATATCACTTGAAGAAGATCCCTCTTTAACATAAATATGCGGCTCAATTCGACATGATGCCATCTATTTGCGATTTTTCGCAGAACCAAATATGATTCACAATTAGTAGGTTACAATATATATATGTGCAGACAATATTAAGGACATTTATCAGTATCTTCTGCCACATACTGATCTGATTGGATAACCGAGAAATATATATTCCTCCCATGCTTAGTTAGCTGGAAGATGGATAAGTTCTACCCCTAGTTAGTAACTTCTTTGAATTAGTACTGTAAGTATATCTTGAACATAGAATGAAATTGTTGGAAATATGTAGGATTTTCGCAGTTTTAAATATCTAAAACAAATGCGTCAAGAAGAGTAGCTATGGATGTAGTGATTTGCAGAGAAGATTTTTAGAAAGATGTCGTAGTCAAGAGGCTTATACTGAAATGTAAACCAAAGTTGGAAGACAAGAAAATATGGAAGTTCTCAATTATCTTTCTTTGGAGCTAGCTTTACTTATGATCTGGCAGTAATAGGGCAATAATACACAATCCCACATATTAATTTCCAACCGACACGCACCAAAAATTACTCCAATTAATAAGGATCATAAAATTTTTTATGGTTATCTTCATTCACAGCCTCTAATTCTCTTTAAGAGTTTGGTCAAAATATGTATAGTTGGATATATATATATATATATAAAGGCAGAGATGGTGAATTGTTACTTTGTGATTAATTGTTTATGTTTCATTCTTCGAAGCGCCTGTAACTCAATTTCTTTTCTGAACAGGAGAAAGTTAAAAGAAATTTTATCTAGTGTTTAAAAAGAATGTGTGATTGGAAATGGGTCTCTCGTTAGCTAGAAATCTCTAGAAATGTGACTGATGACATATATCTGAAGCAAATCAGACGATAACCATTGCTTCAGTTTGTAAAATTGTTGCCTACGAATTAATTCACAACTCTACATATTACCTTGGCATTTTACAACTTTTGTCGTGCGCACCTGACTTTTAATTCTTCTTAATAAAATTCTAATGAAATTTCTTAAGAGTTAAGAGGTTTAAGCCACAAAGTAATTTTATCATCGGTTCATTTCCCGAATAAAGAGATACGATATTCGCAGTCTCGTCTCGTCATTTTACTGGAGCTTATTATTACATCTCTTTTTTTTTTTTTTTTTTGGGTTATCTCCAGAGAAAAACAGACATTAGTGTGAGAACTAATAATTTTTCTTTTGTAATACTAGACCTTTTGAACTGACTTAAAATCCTAACCCTCTTTAATCCATGCACACCATCTATATTCGACGACTTCATTTCTATAATTACTTTTTTTTTTTTTCTTTTTTTTTTATATTCGGACTAATTTACGTATCTTCCAATAAATTTCTCGAGGTCTTGACGTTAATGACTAGATAACCTCTCAGTGTCATCTCTTATCAATGCCTGTAAACTTAACTCAAAAGTTTATAAAATTTCATTTTACTTTTTATCATCAACTATCCAATAATAGTTGCTTATAGTACCTCCACTCAAAAGATTCCTTCCGCTTGGTTGGTAATCAAAATTTTAGCATCAATCTTCTGCATCAGTTTTGGAAATGTATTGTTTTAGAGGTAATTTCTGCGATCTAACTTGAATACGATTTTCAACGGGGACTAGTTATTAGTATCCTATTCCTATGTTGATTTGTTTACCAAGTCAAGAATGATGATATTATATCGATAATTCAATATTTAAAGCCCAAACAGTGGTCCCTATCCCATTGTCAAGTTTCTAGATTTTTCATCAATGAAGCTATGGCTACGTCTAGTGGGTCACCCCATTGAAAATATATGCCACCATTCATGAAATATTCACATTAATGGGATAATCAAAACCCAATAATTCTTCTCACGTCAATTCTATTGAGATATCCAAAACAAAACAAAACATCCATCTATAAAAACATTAACACACACCAATCAGGTAATATAACAAATAAAAAGCTGAATTTCTTTTGTTTTTAATTGATTTGGTGACTGCTGATCTTTTTGAAGACTTTAACTCAGATTACTAATACTTCTCTCTGAACTCTAGATTTCCTAAACCAGTACTATGAATAAGAATTTTTTTTTCCTCAGAAGGAGTTTTGTTTGATTTAAGCCAACTTGTTACATTTTCATTGAAGACATCATCAATGAATCTCTGGTTCCTTGAAAAGTTTAGATACCACATCAATATTCCGATACCAGAAGAGAACTGCCAACTGCGAAATCTTGTTTTATTGTTTGAGGGTTTTCTTTGTACAATATTCTAGAAATGAAAATTTTATCATTCAACAAATCAACTTCCTCGACAACAAATTGGCAATTCATGCCACGATTTCATAATGAGCTTGGACTTGCAGAGTCTCTTCTACCTTTATGACGATTCTTGAAATCAAAAACCGTGTGGGAAGAGTAGGTTTTTTAAGGTTAATAAACAAAGTGTAATGTTCTTGTCAGTCATGACTTAACACACTCATAATTCATATTTGGATCGTACTTTCTCTATTAGCTCTCTCCTCAGGATTTTCCCCGACGCTGACTTTGGAACAGGTTTATAAATGTCACCCTTCGTAGTTTTCTTTAAAAGGTGCAATCTGAACAAGAGGAGAAAAGAAATAAGATCAAGTGTCTGTTATAGAATAGAAGAACAACACATTTTACAACCATACATACTGTACACAGTGTAACAAGCAATATTGGGGAAGCATGCTAACAATAAAACAGAAAAAATAATGACCAACATTAGGCAAAATGCCGCAGCTGTTTGTCTTCCTAAGAAACAATCTGAGTTAAGAACAGAAACTGAATCCAAGTATATTCCACCACAATGAATACCAATGGCATGCTCTTTTTAATTTTCATCTGTCACCTAATGTTAAGCCTAGCCAATCCAAAGGCACTTCTAAATGAACTACAATTGACAAGCAAGAATCTTTTATTGGTTAACATTACCTGCTGCAATAAAATTCTTGACATCTTCTTCGGTCAATGAACTAGTGGCGAACGAACAACATATGCAATTGGGACCTCCACCAGCTTCAGCATCGGGAATCTACATGGGTGGAAATACTTCAAATTAAAATAACGTATTTACAGAAAGGAATTACATTGAAACATTCCCTGAGAATAGTGCAATAAGTTGGTGCATATTTAAGTGTAATACTTACGGATGACAACAGCATCTAATATCTCAGGGTGAGAAACAAGCCCCTTCAAGCTCTGCTGGTGCAACCTATTTTAGATCAGTGAAGCAAAAGAAAAGACGTTTTAGTAGAATAATGAGCACTACAAATCATATCATAGACAAAATACTAGAGCACACATCATTATTAGAATCCAAGTCACACTATTTATGTACAGAGTGGGATCCAATAATAAGCAACAAACAGCAATATACCTGCAATGCCAACTCAAAGTTAAATCTAAATACAGAGAAGAAAAATACTAGATATATCAAAAGCTAGTCATAAAATTGAGTCTGTTTTCTAAGTGAAGAATAGTTTGCATCAAATCCCATACCAAAATGAACATACCTGAAAACTTTGTACTTTATGAGCTCTTAATTCGGTCAACGACAAATAGCTGTCCATCCCCATCAAATATCCAAGATCTCCTGTTTTACCCAACCCTGTTTATCTATGG